GCATGTGGTGGACGTGGAGGTGCCCCCAGTGGCTGAATTGGAAGTCATATTTTTGGCAAAAATGCCCGATCAGTGCCCATACAGACAGGCGTTTGTCAAAGGGTTTACCAAAATGTATAAAGAATTGCAGACATATAGTGATAAAAAGCCATTGGATTGGCTTAGGGTTGGAGTCGAGATCATAGGATCGCTCAGACATTACTCTGATATCAATGCATCGGTATTGAGGTACGAATACAACAAAATAAAGTTTTATAACCACAGTCTCTCTCTCTCTCTCTCTCTCTCTCTCTCTCTCTCTCTCCTGTAGATATGAGTTCTGGAGAGCATTTTACAGTCAACTGGAGGCCGACTCCGGTAGGCATATATTAGACTCGATGCTCAACAACATATTTGGCTCATCGGACAGGGATGTAGTGTACGCCAGTGTTAACGGCTCGTCAAAGTTTTCAGCGCAGACCGCCGATCAGTTCAGTGCACAAATCAAACGGACCGTTAGCTCGTGGATCAATGAGACAGAAATACAAGACCCGGTGTTGGCTTTAATACCGGAGACGATAGCATTGTTCGCCGAATGCAACGTCTTTCTGAAGGATAACGAAAACTGTCAGATGGAGGGTCTGGTACTGGTAGGAGACAGCGGCACCGGTAGGAAAGTGGCTCTTAAATCCATTAGCCACTCATTCGGATACGATACCATTTGGTCACCAAAACAGGCCTACAATGAGAAACAATTGGGCGCTGAATTGAGCGCACTATTGGTCAGCGATGAGGAACGGGAGGAGAGAAAAGTATTGATAATTGTGGACGAAATACATATGCATTTAATAAGGCATTTAAGGGACAAAATATACGATATATTATGTACGAGAAACAGCAAGTCTATGGTCAGAATCGCGTTAGTGATCAGTGAGTTGAATGGCGTAAATGAGTCGATGTGGAGTAGGGTGTGTCACATACATACCTGTGCTAAATGGTCCAGACAGTCGCTCATACAATTACCACCATTAATCACAGGGGCAGTGACGGGAACCGGTGGTCCAGTAGCCGAAGAATTATCGCAAAACTTCGTGAAAATATATGAATTGTTTGCAGACAAACAAGCACATATGCGAAAATATTTATCATTAATTCATGTTTTCTGTCAAATTCTGATCAAAAAATCACAAGAATTGGAGAAACATAGCGAACATTTGCTGACAGGTGTGTAGAAAACCCGATAAAGTTATTTAATATGTTATATGTATTATGTATTATGTGTATAAATATACTGTAAGTTTAATAGTTTACTAATTTACACAAAATTATTAACATAGTCCTAATCAATGATGAATTTATGCGGAAAAACTAATTCATTTGACTTTTTTTAGGGCTATATATGAATGAATAAATCTCATGTTATTTTGCCTACTAATGTAACAGTGCAGGATCTTTTTCATATATAAATTTATATATAATTTAGTTAGTAATATTGATTGATATGATGTAACCCTATAGGCGTATCGAAACTGGAGTCGGCGGGCGCAGAGGTGGACAAACTGAGGTCAGAGGCCACCGAACAAAAGGCTCTGTTGGCGGCCAAACGCCAGGAGGCGGACGATGCTCTACATCTGATCACAAATTCAATGCACGGCGCGGAAGACCAGAAGGTGGAGTTGGAGGACATCCGAGCGCGCACTGAACGTGAGACCCAAAAGCTAACGGTGCGAAAGAAGGAAATCGACGCCGAACTCAAGCAAATAGAGCCGGTTCTCAATCAGGCCAAACAGGCCGTCGGTTCCATTCGGTCGGAGTCGTTGGCGGAGATCCGGTCTTTACGAGCGCCGCCGGAAGTCATACGCGATATACTTGAGGGCGTACTACGACTAATGGGTGTCAACGACACCTCTTGGGTGTCAATGAAGTCCTTCCTATCGAGGCGTGGCGTCAAAGACGAGATCATGAACTTTGAGAGTCGAAAGATTACTCCAGATATGAGAGTAAAGGTCTGTCAGTCGATACTATACTTATGAATAAGGATGGCCATAGCCATAGGCGCCAAATTCACGGGCCTCGGCCTGACCCTCAACGGCCCAAAACATTAGGGGCCTCCGGCCTCGGCCTGGCATATAATATTTCTTAATGGGCCGGGCAAAGGCCAGGCCGGGCTTGGGCTTATGGCCATCCTTACTTATGAATAGTTTATTTCTATCAATAATTACAAATAATTAGATTAAATATATTTTACTCTTTAAACTACTTTCACGAAAAATAAGATATTTGTCAAAAATAATGAGTCGCTCGAATAGTGGTGTCGTAGGGTTAAGATGTTAGCACCTGTATATTTATGGGAATTCCTTCACACATACCTGTTTTAAGTAAGGGATGTGTGAGTTTTAATATAAAAATAGATTTTCCATGTGATAACAGATATATAATAATATAAATTTATATCCACCAAAAAATAAAAACTAAATATACATTAACTTACTATTATAGAGTATTAATTCTGTAATTAAAAATTAAGAGGACTCTCTCTCTCTCTCTCCCTCTCTCTGGATATATTTTGAAGCAGATTTATGATTAAGTTAATTAATCATATTATTATTGGTCATTTAGTATAGTTTTTAAGATTCTAATGCTATATTTATCAATACAAATACTCCACTTTCTTGATCAAAGACATCTTAATTTAAATCATATTTTGGATATGTGTACAACATTTTGCATTTAATTTATTAATACTATTAGAGTGAGACTCGTATTTATTATGGGAGGGGAGGGCTCCACAAATACCAGAATGTATTTTCACTTTATTTGACATTTCGTGGTATGAATTCTTGTCTAAAATTAATAAGTTTAATGAACTCTTTCAGCTACTCTCTCTCTCTCTCTCTCTCTCTCTCTCGCTCACCCGCTCAGTCCTTATAGCAGAAGTATTTTGTATTAATTTTACTTTGAAATGTCTGTAAACACAACCTGAATATCAAATGCCATCCAATGTTTGATTTATTGGTTTTTTTTGTTGAAACATTAAAAGTAATGCTTTTTAAAATGTTTTTAAAAGTCTTTTCATTTAATAGGACGAGTAAAAAGAAATATGCATTCAATCGTTAAATCAATAGATAATAGAAAATTATTTTACTTATTCTCAATATTTGCTTTTGATTTGAGGATATTTTGAGGTAAATTATTTTTAAGCTTACTTGTTAGTTTTGAGAGGGAGGGAGAGAGAGAGAGAGAGAGAGAGAGAGAGAGAGACTTTTATTAATATCCCCTTTAGATTATATTATACAGGATATTGTAATACAGTATTATACCGTATATTACTTAAGGAGTAATGTATTATAAGTTATAATTTATAACAAATTTATGAATTCATTCATACATTCGAGTTATAATGTTCTACGAACTAATGGAAAAAATTAAATAATTAGCGTATATTTATATTATTTATATCTGTGTACTGAGTATTTAACGTTTAAAAATTTGATCTAGAATATGGTCATGAAAACAATAATTCTCTACATACTGGATTTCATTATTTTTATATATACTCGTATATCTAAATAAAAATTCATTGAATATGTAATACTGTACCAGTATACTTTGATAAAGAATGTTCTCATCAATGTTTAGAATTTTTAGTATCAATTATTAGGCTATTAGTACAAAACTACACTTAATGTGTGGAGTAGAAAATAATATTTTTATTCAAATGATCTGAAAATACAATATATTATATATAAAAGTGATGGGAATGGGATGTCAATGTATTCAAAAAATCAACTCTAATAATATATTTAAGTTTTTGTTTCAATGATTAAAAATTGATTTCCAATTTTAGGAAACTAGGGAGTGAGTGAGTGAGTGAGAGAGAGAGAGAGAGAGAGAGGAGAGAGAGAGAGAGGGGGGGAGAGTAACTTTGAAAACTTTTGAAAGAAAATTCAATTTAAAGATATTTTTACTCTTTTTTAAATTGTGTTTCAATTGTAGAAAAGATGTGACGATAAATGAAGTGAAACAAAAATAATTAATATTTCTATTATACAATTGTATACAAGTTAACTCAATATAAGTTTATTAGACTTATTTTTGACATTAGAAACTAATATCAAAAATAATTAAAACTTTTCAGTTTTTGATTTTAATTTAAGCTTTAATTTTCAAATTGTTTTATAACCGGTCTCTCTCTCTCTCTCTTTCTCTCTACTCGTTCTTATCTCTACTTTTAACTATTAGCTTATTTTCTAATCACTTTTTTCTTACTTTTTAATTTTAACAGAAAGTTAATAGCCGATTAGAAAGTTATTTGACATTTGCTATGACTGCTTGAGTAACAAATAAATGTATTAAATAAATATAATATTAACAAAGAAAAACACGAAAACTTAAATGCTAAATACTGTATCCGCTAATAAGTGATTTTATTTATACTAATAGTTTGATAACAAATGTTTATTATATTGGGAATATATGCACACTATTGTTCCGAATCTTGAAATAGGCACTTATATTCAGTCATTTGTAAAATTACAATTGTTTCGTAACTATAAATTATAAAATATTTAATCAGTGAGAGGAAACACGTCTATTATATCAAAAATTGTAAAAACATTTTTATTAATTAGTAGAATAGGGAATTTATTTAAAATATCCATTTTTAGCATTTTTTATTTTTCATTAAAGACTCTCTCTCTCTCTCTCTCTCTCTCTCTGGATATATTTTGAAGCAGATTTATGATTAAGTTAATTAATCATATTATTATTGGTCATTTAGTATAGTTGAAACACAATTTAAAAAAGAGTAAAAATATCTTTAAATTGAATTTTCTTTCAAAAGTTTTCAAAGTTACTCTCCCCCCCTCTCTCTCTCTCTCTCTCTCTCTCTCTCAATTTATTTCTATTAGTTAATTAAAAGCGAATATTGATAATTAATATCTAAATAATTAGTACTTAAAATTAAACGTAATATTAAATTGTTTGTAAATATGCATTAAATGGTATAAAACTGTGAATTGATGGCCAAACAGGTGGAGTCTCTGCTGCAGAACCATAGCGACAGTTTCGAGGCATCGGCGGCCAGACGGGCGTCAGTAGCGGCCGCACCGTTGGCCGAGTGGGTGAAGGCGAACGTGGCGTTCAGTCGAGTGTTGCATAAGATTAAGCCTCTGGAAGACGAACAGAATCGGCTCGAGTCGGGCCTCCGATCCGCTCAAACCCGCATCAATTCACTGAGCAATCAGTTGGAAGGCGTGGAGACAGAGGTGGGTGCTCTGAGGGACCGACTCAATCACGTGACAGTAGAGGCCGCGCAGATTGAGGTCGGCCTCAAACAGACGAACCAAACGCTGAGTCAATCGGAGAAATTGATTACTGATTTGAGCGGTGAGTTCAGCCGTTGGAAACAACAGCTCCGGGATATTGAGGAGATGGTGGCGGCACTACCCGTTCGGGCCATCATTGCCAGCGCTTATGTAGTGTATTGTAGTGACGAACCGTCCACTGAGAAGCGCCGGCAGTTGTTTCAGTTGTGCTGTCAGTCACTGGCGGTTCCGGAGTTTGATTTGCAGGTATTTGTCACCAAATGCCATGTATTGCCCATATTTTTATTTGTTAGCTCTCTATGTAATGAACATATGATTACTCTATTTGAAGGCATTCCTTAACAGTGCCACTGAAGAGGAAGTGTTTGTGAGCGCCGGTGCCCTCTGTTCACACCAGACGCCGTTTATCTGCGACCCGACCCGCAAAATACTAGCTCTCAATGCCTTCGAGACCAACTGCGAGATTACGGACACTCGGAGTAGGGATTGGATTAAAGTCATGGAATTGAGTCTACGCTTCGGCCGCACTCTAGTGATCAATGATTTTCAGCGCCTGGAGTTTCCGTTATTACCAGTACTACGGAAGGAGATATACGGTGGCATCGATTCGCGGAACTGGATATTCATTGGCGACAAACGAGTCGATTATAATAGAAATTTCCGACTCTTTTTGATCGGCCCAGAGTTGAGCGCCGGTGTGGCCGACGATCCGCTCTTTAATATTATAAACCTATCGCCGAGTGGGAGCGGTATGTCATCGAGACTGTTGAGTTTGGTGATAGAGTGCCGGCGCCCGGAACTGGAGGCAAAAAAACTGGAAATTGAGAGACAAAAGTTACGCTTAGAGTCGGAGTTAAGGGAATTGGAGTCAAAGTTGTTATCAAAACTTATGGAGTCGACCGGAAATCTGTTAAATAATACAGAACTCGTACAGAGTCTCAATGAACTGAAGGGATCAGCCCTTAGTGTTGAACAGTCGCTCCGGGAATCTGCAAAATTGGCCACTGATTTGCAGCGGGAGAGGGCTGAATACGAGTCTTTGGCGCACTTCTCATCGCACCTGTATTTCTTGGTGCGCGAGTTAGTTAGTCTGAAGCCTATGTATCGGTTCGGTGTCGCAGAATACGAGTCCGTATTTCGGGAATCGCTTAACAGGTATAAGGATTTGACACCAAAACAGTTACTTCAGGTAAGCCTTGTTGTTTTATGCACTGAGTATGCTATGCTAGAGTTTGCTAGAATATAGATAAATAGATTTTTGAGTATACAATTTGGATCCTTACTTATGCCATGGGTTAGGGACGGGTTGTATTTGAATTTAATTTGCTTACACAATATTTTCATTCACTATCATGTGTTTAGCATAACTGACCTCTTTTATACATTATGAGAATTCAATTTTATAATAAAAATGATATAAATACTTTTAATACATTCATACATTCTTTAATGATCTAATATTTTTGTTTTAATTTATAATACGGAAGAGTGTTACAGTCAATTTGTATTTATATGCAAATTAATGCTAATCATAAATGTGTTGATCTTGTGGTAATCCAATACTTCATTATTGGTACGATATCTTGAATTTTCGTTTTAGTACAAATGATTTACTTTTAATTTTATAAATAATTTTCTTGATACATTGTCAGAACACTTTTATATTATACATAAATATGTTTATCATTTTTTATTTTTAAAATGAATTTTAATTAAAAATATCTGCCATTTAATGTGTTGATTTTTCATACAGATTGTTTCCTAATATACATTATATCTCACTAATTATTCAATAATATGATTTGTTTTATATTGAATCAAAATTTATTTAAAATATGAGATATTCAATCTTATCGATAAAACTAAATTTCATATTTATACTAAATGTAATCATATGAGAAGATCTTTGGCTTTGAAATTTAAAGTTTCAATAAAAAGTTTAGGTCAATGATAATATCATTATTTTATATTCTCACAAACCATACAATAAGCCAAATTATATTATAGAGTACACTTCAGTACATTACTGTATAGCCGATAATTTGTTCACTATAACCGGATATTTAGTGAAAAATAAGATATACAATAGGAATATAATGTATGCCTCAAATGTGATTTGTTTTATTTTTAAGAGATTGATTTAGTAATTGTTTTTTAAATGAGACCTAATTATAATAATTAAAAAAAGCAATATTTTCTTTTCAACTCAGTTTTTTCAATTAATTTCACACATACATAAAACATTCTATAATAATTTATATAGTTAAAACAAATATAATTGCATAAATATGAAAACCTAATTTAGATTCTTATCAATAGTACAACAAAAACTTATTACTGTGTTGTATCATATATGGTATATTATTAAATAATATTGGAATTATTTTTCTAAACATATTTTTAGTTTTAATTATCTCTTAAGTGTTGTATTAATTAATATTGTATGATTGATTTTAGCCGTTCATAAAACTTTGAACCTAAATTTAATATAATTTTGAATATTAATATTAATAAGTGATGAAATGTGTTATCATTGTATGACAAATGAATGATTTAATGAATACCCATAATATTAATACAAATTATATAATTAATTATTATATAATTAAATTTATTTGATATTTTGTGTGAAATATGCGTTTGATTTGATAAACATATGCATTGATTTAGGATATGTATGAATACGTGTCCAGAGGGCTGTTTCCTGAAGACAGGATCACATTCGAGCGGTTTGTCCGTAAGAGATGTCCCAAAGAAGGACAGACATTACGGGCTGACCACACAATAAACGTCAGAGAGTTTGTGCGACTAATATATGGCTCGGATAAGAAGGTGGCGCTCATAATGACAGCCCCGGGAAGCGACCCAACCGGCGAAGTCCAACAAATCGCTGGAGAATTACGAGTCAATCAGTTCACTATATTATCGATGGGTTCTGACGTATTAGGTCAGGCCGAACAAGCAATCGCCGGCACCGGTAGCGCTGACAACATTGAGCTCCTGTGCCTCACAAACCTTCATTTGGTAATTGGATGGCTACCGGCGCTGCAGCGTATGTTAATGGCGGCCAACATTAGTGTCAGCCCTAATCGGAAGCAGACATTTGTGATACTCTGTACAGAAAGTTGTGTCGAATTTCCCGTTTCACTGCTCGAGATGTCTGTGAAGTACGCCTATGAGTCGGCGCCGGGACTTCGGCACCAATTGAAACTTTTAACAGCAGACGTATCGGTGCCGGAGCTCAAGATATTGTCGTATTTACACGCCGTGTGCTGCGAGCGCCGACATTATGTGCCCCAGGGATGGACCAAAGCCTATGAGTTTGGGTTCACTGACTTCCGGTCGGCGTCTAATGTCGTGCAGACAGTCCTCACAGAGAAGGACCGACGTTTGAGACCGGAGTTCATACGCGGCATATTGGGGGCAGTTATATACGGCGGTAAATTGGATACCAGTGTCGACAACGATATACTACAGGTATAAAAAGATTAAGTGATGTATTTGTAATACCAATTAGGTTTACAGCACAGCTCAGAGACAAATATTATTTAATACATGTTTATTGAAACCCAATTTTACTATTAGGTTGTATTATATTTACTAATTAATCTATCTAAATTGATTTTTTTTAATAAACTAAATTATTCATTTATATTCAATATTACAATTTAACAAATATACAGAATCTAAATGTTTAGATAAATATTCAAATTATTAGATATTTTATGAGATATTTTATTTTATTAGATAGTAGTACCGTAGAAATGTTAACATTACACATTCCTTGACAAATTTTACTCTACTTTTATCCACTTTTTTACTACAATGATAACTACAGGCGCTGATCAACCGTTGGTTCAACAATAATAGTAGTAAAGACACGGACCCGACGGATGAGATATCGGTGTTGGGTCTGTCCCGGAATGTCGACAAATTGAGACAAACGGCACTTGAAAGTCGACTCACGAAAGGGTTGGCCGTCTTAGAAAATGCCACCAATTCAGACAAATCCGGGGACAAGGAGTTGGAGAGACTGCGGGTTCTCTGGAGACAACTTAACATTAATAAAACCTTTAGCGATACGAGTGGCCGACCCTCAGCTACCGGTTCACCCATCGATGGATACCTGAGTTCAGAATTAAGCCAAACTCAGCGACTCGTCCAACGCATGGACGGGGATATCAATGGCACAGATAGTGAGTTCATAGGCGACCAGTTGGCCATTAATGAGACACCTGATCCATGGCTTACGCAATGGCCTAATGGTCCCAAAAGCGCCGATACATTCATGAGATGCGCGGCGTTTATGGCTTCAGAGGTTAAACGCCTGTCCGACGCAAGAGGGGAACAGGAGTTTAATTTATCTCATTTGTTTCAACCGAACTCATTGTTGAACGCTCTGAGACAACAGGCCTCCCGGAGCCTCAACACGACTGTGGATCAGCTGCGGCTATATTGCGCGTGGGGTCGACAGTCTCTCAGCACAGGTAGCGCACAGGCGATGCGCTATACTCTCACTGGTATTGCCATTGAGGGCGCGATCTATGATGACCTACAGCTCCGGGATTGTACGCAAGACAGTCCCCTGCAATCAGATATGCCGCCCCTTGTCCTCCATTTTCTATCAAACGTATGGAATATATTTTGTTTCCATTAAATTAACATTAGATAGGGATATTGGATAGAATGAGCAGGTTTAATTTAGAAAAATTATATTAATAATTAATTATTAATTGCCACAAATATAAGTGTATATTTCCGGTATTGTAAGTTATATTCAGATATTTAGAATTACATGAAATTAGTTATGGCGTGATCCACAAAGTACGCACACGGCTAGGGGGAGGGGGTCATGCCAAAGCATCCCCATGTTAAACTCCTATGCACGATGGGCGTGTATGGGGGTCAATTTTTGACTAAAATTTTGCGTACCTACTTTTTGAATGACGCCTATACTGTATTTATATTTTTATGGGATTCTTATTAATATAATAAAGCTATTGTGCTTAACATTGAAAGGACAGACAGTTGCGAATAGCAGCCCAAAAGTCGTCAACCCTATTGTCAAAACAATTGTTACTTATCTAACAATTCTTATATATATAAGACATTCAAAAAGTAATGAATATTTTTCTGATTGGGATCTCAACTGAAAAACTCAAAAGTTTAATGAACAGAGTTTTCTCATTGAATTCATAAATGCTTCGTTATTCCGTAAAATACAATACACCGACTCATCTCACTATACTGAGCAGTGTACATTTAAATTGATAGATTCTCACAAATCTAATAAGGATTATAGTGATTAGTCTGTATTGCTTATTTACCACTTACTTATCATTCATTTATACAATAAATATTTTAATTAATATAATATAATATATTTAATAAATCCAAAGGATGGTCCCGAGCCGTACGACAGCCAACAAGTGGTCCGTTTGCCATTGTATGGCAACTCCAGTAGGGAGACAGTGGTCGGGCACCTGGATGTGCCCGTTGGTCGTGGCACACAATCGCATTGGACTGAATGTGCCGTTTCTTTTGTCATTAAATACAGTCATTCCGTATAATTAGTTTCGCATAATTAGTGATAATTTATTTAATTATATTTATTTATTTAAATTATAGTCATAAGTATGAGCTCTATATGCCATTGAGTAGGTAATGGTTGCAGTATCTAAATCATGTTAGTGGGCCCATACCTTTTAATAACTATAATTACTTATTATTTTGTATTTATTGATTATTAGTAAATTTAAATAATACTGTACTATTTTTGTATAATAAAGTTCTGTACTAAAGAACCTAAAAAGTGCCATTTTTCATATACAATAAGCTTCAATAAGGGTTTAATTGAAAATTTCTTCTATAGATAAACATATTACCAATAATATTACTAATCACAAAAAGACTACCTAAGCTGTGATCAAATGTTCTTTAACCAAGTTTAGTATAGTTCATTCCAATGCCATCAAATTGGTTTATTTTCTCATTTAATTATTGGTTAATTAGAGTTTGACTCTAAGTTTTGTTTGTTTTCCAGGTGTCTGTTTGGCTGCCATTCATTTAGTTGTCATTTCATAGGTGTCAAACAAAACTAAACTAAAATAAAATAAATTATATTATCACACTTATTAAAATATATACAGTATATGAGTACCGTATACATTATATCTATGTTATATGTAATATTTAATTACTATATTATTCAGTTATTAATTAGCTCTAACAGTACACAATATTTATGCTTTTTATTTAAAATTATTTTTAGTTTGATTTTTATTTTTTGTATGTTCTCAACTCATATCAATTACTAATAGTTTTATTATTAATATACTGTATAATCGTTTTCAAAATAAAATTATAACTATAACATTTTAATTATATTTTATCTAATCTTTGAATTTATTCTTAATGTATGAATGCACTCAAAATGCGATGACTCTCTCTCTCTCTCTCTCCACTCAATAAAACTTTAAAATATTTTATCAATAATTTTAAACTCTCAAAAAATATTTACAAAATGAACCATTTTATTTTTAATTACATCACATATTTCTGTTACCAAAATAAAAATGATTACAGTATTTTATTTGGCAAAGTTTTAGAAACGTTTTTTCTACAACATTAGTTTCAAAATATTTTAATTTTTTAAAAAAAGCTGAATGTGTGGAAAATTTGAATGTTTTTGCGAAAATTAATTCATACCTTAGAATCTTAGACGTTCACTGCCTTAGATCTATCATTATAATACCCATACGACACACGTATACTGTATATTTAAAAACTTTTATATTTAATATCTTTTTTTGAATGTACTGTATTCTTTATGTTTTGTTTCTGAACTTTGTAGTCAACTTTTCTTAGTTTACTTCAAACTTATGTCTAGCCATTAGTTTAGAGGGTATTTCAGTTTATTAAATGTCCATACTATACCGTAGTATTTTTTTGGTAAAATTACAATTGTATTTGGGCAAATGAAATCCAAAACTTAATGACCGGACTACTGTTTGTGTGATTTTGTTTTTGCTTAAAACTTTAGAGTGAAAATCTGTTTTCAATTTTAAATAATGCAAAGATTTCTTTAATTTTTGTCAATAAGTAAATAAATTTTCTTAGAGAGAGAGAGAGAGTCAAAAAGTCAAAATCTTCTTTTAAAATATTTGAAATGATTATATTATTACTTTTTTAATTAAACATTTTTTAAATTATTAATTATTTCCAAATAACAATATTACTAAATTAATAAATGCAACAAACTTAGATATCTATAACTAAAAACATATTAAAACAAAAATCATATTATGTTTATAATTAAAGCCACACATCTATTTTAAATTATAACACAAGCCAACTGTCCCTCCAAGTGAAGCGCAGGTAGGTTTTCAGATGTTTTTATTTCTCAGCGACTAATGTGCAAAAAATAAGTCAAACTTTTTTCTGGAGTGTCTGTATTTTACTAACCAATCATTTTGAAAGGGAGAGAGAGAGAGAGAGACTACTCTAAAGTGTAATTAAAGTAAAAGCAAAAGCAAAAAATTATTATCTTTAATAATATACATAACACTGTTTTGCAAAATAATAAAGGATTAGATAGTCGTATACTTTTTAAGACTAAAAACACATTAATGTTGTTATTATTACTATTTACTACATATGCCTTCACAATGGATTGTACTGTACTGTGTGACAATCTCTCCCTGTCCTCTCAATACCTACCTGAGCTCTGTCAAGCGTAAGCTACTTATCCTGAGGCGTCTGTGTTTCAAAATATACAGCACTAGAGTTACAACAATACCTTACGTGTAATTAAATCTATTCATTACCTATGCATTTGTATACCATTTTGAGTCTTATACATGTATCGGGTGTCCCATCGTATCAGTAAGATTTCTAAATTAATTTTTAAATATTTACAATTATATTTTGTTAACAAAAACTATACAAAAATGTTGGAAATTTATTAAAATTTTAT